CCTGCAACCTTCTCTTTCCAGGGCTCCTGCCAGTTGTTGGCTTAAAATCACAGCAACAGACTCCCTTTTTAAAAACACATGAAATATTTCGAACGTACACAAAAGTACAGCAAGTAATAAGTCCTCCGTGTACTTGCCGTACAGATTTGACAAATGTTGACATTTTGCTATTTTTGCTTCAGCTGCTGCTGCTTTTTTTTTTTTTTTTTAAAGAAATAAAACATGACGGAACCAGCAGAAGCCCCACACCGTGTCTGGTCCTGTCTGTCTGTCTGGGGCACTGGTCCCCATGGGTGTGGCCAGAGCAAACATACTGCCTTCTACCCCGTCAAGTCCAAATTGCTCAATGCTCCCGGTCACTCCCTTTCTCTTGCCCTAGCTGCCTGGAACCTGATGGCCACGCTAGGCAGCTGGAGCTGCTTGGGAATCAGGCGTTTCCTCTCTGGGGGACTTTAACCTGCAGAACCCTGGGAGGCGGCCCTGTAAGTGGCTTTAGTCTCCATAAAATAGGTCCGAGATATTTGGAGAGAAATGTGAAATGTACAAATACGGGACGAGAAAGGAGTTAAGAGGCACTGCAAGAAACAGAAGGTCAGTGACGGGCCACCTGTATTTGGAGACAACTCACATTGTATAAATGGAAAAGTAAAGGCCAAAAGAGCAAAGCAGGGACTTCCCTGGTGGTCCAGTGGTTAAGACTCCAGGCTTCTACTGCAGGGGGCAGTGATTCGGGTTAGATCCCTGGTCAGGGAACTAAGATCCTGCCTGCCACACAGTGCAGCCAAAAAAAAAAAAAAACCCAAAGAGCAAAGTAGGTGGTCAGGGAGATGGGTGCAGGAAGGCAGGGGGTCAGAGAGGAGTGGGCTCCAGCCTGTGTCCTCTGGGTTGCGGCAGACACGGCTTCGCAGCCCCTCTCCTCTATCCTCTCCCCCCCCCACCCTCCCCCCCCCTCCTGCCCCTCAAATCCTCACCTGGGGAATCCAAAGGGCCGTGGCACAGCCTAGCCTCCACGGCCAGACACGATCTGGCCGGCCTCGGCGGGCAGTGGTGCGCGGGTCCCACTCACCATCGTCTTCCTCAGGCCCTGCCAGGGGTGGGCCCTCCACGCCATCCAGCTCCTTTTCCTGCAAGACAAGGGGAGGGCTCAGTGCCTGTGCACCTGATTTACATTTGTGATACTGTCATTCAGGGTTTGACCCCTCGGTCAAAGCAACCTGACCCCTGGGTCTGCCCTTAGGATAGATGTGCTTGGGGAACGAAGCAGGTGACCGCCTCGGGGAGAGGAGGCAGTGGTGGACAGGACATCGTGGGGAGAGGAAGGGGCCGCCCAGGGCCAGCCTGGCCACTCACAGCACCCGCGCTGTCCTTTGAGCGTGGCCAGGAGGTCCTGAGTGGGGGCCACGGTCAACAGCAGGTGGAAACAGGGACATCAGCGGGAATTCCCTGGTGGTCCAGTGGTTAGGACTCGGCGCTTCCACTGCCGTGGGCTCAGATTCAAGCCCTGGTCAGGGAACTAAGATCCCGCAAGTCATGCGGTGCGGCCAAAACACACAAACAAGCCGAAAAGGAAATAGGGACGTGAGTGCCTGAATTTTTGACCTTTGCACCTCGGTCCCTTTGCCTTTTCCAGGTGGGTGCTGGTCAAGTGGTGGGTGCCACTTCGATAAGTGGACTGGGCAACTCCCACTCCTGGCTATAGTGAGTAGAACAAAAGGCACGAGAGGAAAGCTGGGGGGTTCTCCGGGGTCCGGGCTGGGCTGGGTGTCACAGAGAAGCTGCGTTTGTGGTCACAGGCTCCATCTCTGCTTCCTTTAACATTGTTTCCATCCCTGACCATTTCAGGCTCCGTTTTCCCAAAATGGGAGCTCCACCTCCCTCAGCCTGGTTCTCTCCCACGCACACGGACAAAATAAACAGAAGGCTGGAAGGAATGTCCCGGGATGGCCTCGTGTAAGGCAGGAGTGACTTCACCTTGCAGGAATGTTGGAGGATGACAGGGAGGTGCGGGTGCTGCGGCTCTGAGGGACTGAAGGGCCAGGGGACCTGCGGCCCGAGGAAGCCCAGCGGCAGACAAGGCAGAGCAGGCAGGTTTAGGAGAGGGCAGCCCGGACGTGAATGGGCTGCCCCATGGGGGCCGAGACAGCGCGGTGGACTAATCCAAACCCAGGCCTTCAGGCTCCCGGCCCGGGGGTCCAGCGGTTTGCAGCCTCAGCAAGCCGGGCAGGCAGACGCCCCAACAAATCAGAGAGAGCTAATCTGGGAGGCAAAGTTTGCACAAAGCCCAAGAGCCGGTCATTAGTGGCAAACACAAAAGGGCCTCGGGTCTCTCATTGTGACTTCCTCTCTCGCTGGACCCCACAAGACGCCGCCGGGCGGAGCAGGGCCGGAGGCAGGAGCTGGCTCTCCCCCACTTAGCAGCTTGCAGCAGGCTCAGCGCCATCCGACGTGAGGCACGCTGCCCTGGGCGCTGGCCAGCATCTGGGGCTCGGGTGTCCAGACGCCTCCGGGATTTTGCCCAGCAGAGCGTCTCTGTAGCTGCGGGGGGAAGGCAGGCCTCTTTGGGGGACAAAGGAGACACCCCTTTGACTCAGCAAACCCAGTTCTAGGGATCTGCTCTGGGCTGGAAAACCATCTATCCGGGTTTTTATATGAGGACTCTGGGTGCAGGGGAGAACAAGACAAAACTGGGAACAACTAAATGTTCATCCATGGAGTTAAATACAGTATAGTTAAGTATATTACAGTTAAACACTTTGGTCGGTATGTTCACCAAAATATTAACACCTTAAATATATTACAGTGCACGCATACACTGTGCAACACTGCCTTAAAAAGGAGGTGACTGGGGACTTCCCTGGCGGTCCAGTGGTTAGGACTCCACGCTTCCACTGCAGGGGGCATGGGTTCGATCCCCGGTCAGGGAACTAAGATCCCACATGCCGCACGGCACAGCCAGAAAAATTAAAATTTTTACAATTAAAAAAAAAAAATTAAAAAGGAGGCGACCATACGTACCGATGTGAAAAGCGCATTGAGATACATTACCAAAGGGAGAAGCAAGAAGCAGCACAGGGTGGAGAATGCAACATTCTTGGTGTGCATGTCAAAACAGAAGTGCACACACACGCTCATAAATGCGGAGAAAACGTTTTCTAGAAGGACACGCAAGACACAGATAACAGCGACCGCCTTTGGGGACAGGAGCTGGTTGGGGGCCCCCTTTCCTCTCCATCTTACACATTTCAGTATAATTTGGATTTTCTAATAATAGGCATGAATTGCATTTTTAAAATGCTACACAGGGATCTCTGAACAGTGAGCTTGGGGCTACTATATATATTTTTCTTTAAAAAAAGAAAGAGAGGGCTTCCCTGGTGGTGCAGTGGTTGAGAATCTGCCTGCCAATGCAGGGGACACGGGTTCGAGAGCCCTGGTCTGGGAAGATCCCACATGCTGCGGAGCAACTAAGCCCGTGTGCCACAACTACTGAGCCTGCGCGTCTGGAGCCTGTGCTCTGCAACAAGAGAGGCTGCAACAGTGAGAGACCTGCGTACTGCGATGAAGAGTGGCCCCCGCTCGCCACAACTAGAGAAAGCCCTCGCACAGAAATGAAGACCCAGCACAGCCATAAATAAATAAATAAGAAAGAGAAAAAAACACAGAAAGAAAAACAGATTAATCTAATCAGGGCTGGAGCCCAGAAATAAGCCCAATATCAAGACTAGAGAGTAGGCCAATTCTCCTACTATGTTCGAGGGACACAAAGGCTAAAGGAAAAACAACAAAAAAGCAAGCACAGCCCCTTCGTGAAGGAGCTCACAGTCCGGTAGGAAAGACATATACCCAGATAACTGCCACCCAGGATGGTAAATTCAGGAACCAAGGCAGACCTCTTTATCCCAGAGACACGGCATCAGTTGACCTGCCAGCAGCCCCCTGGGGAGAGGCTGGTCTGCATTTGGATTTTGCACTTGACTTTTGAAGTGTGGTACTTTTTAAACTGGTTATGACCCATTGGTGAGTCACGAAAGCAATTTAGAGGTTGCTACTAGTATTTAAAAGTTGTGCAGCCAACGTCTTAGTGTGATTTTAAGATTTAATAACTTCAGAAGCATAAATGCTCCCAACATACCAAAAAATGACATTTGAAAGGTTAGTTATCTACATTTTAAATATGTTGACGTTTCTTATCCAGATTCATATAATACCCCCGTCTGGTGGCTCTAGCTGATTTTCAGACTTTGGAAAACCATTCATGGGCGGATGGTCAGTGACTAAAAGGGATTTGCCTTTGTGAGTCCAGCCTTGTGATCTTATGAGGACTGGAGGCACACGTGACAGTCTGGACATGACCTCAAGGGAGGTCGACCAGGCATCTGAGGTGCCCACAGGACAGGACTCCTCTACCTGCCTGTCAGTCCAGATTCCAGCACGCACAGAGACTTAAAATGAAAAACACAGCATTCAAATGTTAGGAAACTAAGTATAAAAGGAATTTAAATAAGTAAATACTCAACTGATGTATTTTGTAGGTTTGTAGCATTTACACTTCTTCAGTTATTAAGACTTAAAACTACACTAAGACTTTGGGGGCGACCCTGTATCCCAATATGAAATTAAAGATAAATAGTGGTGTGTGTGTGGTTGACGTAGCTACCGTTTTACAAAACTTCTGTGACTTTACAGACAGGGATGCAATTCAAATAAATAGATTTCTTTTTTTTTTTTTTTTTTTTTTTTGCGGTACGCGGGCCTCTCACTGTTGTGGCCTCTCCCGTTGCGGAGCACAGGCTCCGGACACGCAGGCTCAGCGGCCATGGCTCACGGGCCCAGCCGCTCCGCGGCATGTGGGATCTTCCCGGACCGGGGCACGAACCCGTGTCCCCTGCATTGGCAGGCGGACTCTCAACCACTGCGCCACCGGGGAAGCCCCAAATAAATAGATTTCTTATTTGAGACTTAATGAAGTTTGGAAAACATTGCTGAATCGGCCATTTACTGTTTTCTGTCTGCACAGAAACCCCCTTCTTTCAGAAGATGCCCTTTGAAGCCTGTGGTCCTGGTGGGAACTGCCAGTCGGGCAGTCAGACCCCACCCCCAACACACACCACGATGGGCAGGGCAGGCGGATGTGACCCAGGGCCCAACTTCCACTTGGGCACAAGGGACCTCTGGTTCCAGAACTGGGAGCTCGGGAGCTGCCCAGGGTTGCCGTGGTCGGGAGTCCCTGCCTCCCCTGTACGTGAGCGACTCAAATCCTGGTTCTGCGAAAGCTCACCTGAACCCAGTTTCTGTCACCGACAGCCAGAGTCCTGACCACGGCCACCGTCCACTCACATCCCACTCCGCAAGCCCAGAACATCTCACGTTCTTCCAGGAGGCTCTTGCCTCTGTCAAATACCAGCTGCACAGCAGTGGGGGTGGGTAGGGGGGCCTGCTCCAGGGTGGTGCCCAAGGCCTCACATTTATCTGGGTTACTTACTGGTCTTCTAGACAACATCATAATAATGGGAAGCCTTCCATTATTTAAAAAAAGAACAAGTTTAAAAATCACTCTTTATTGCATTTTGCCCTTATTTTACAAAAAATGCGTAAGAGCGACTGAGACAAGGATGGAAACCCTTCTGGAGGTTGGGACTGTTTAGCCTCAGTCCAGTGCTCTTTGCTTCAAGATGGTGAGCTGTGTGCACGACAGCAAAGAAGGATACAGGGAGACCGACCGTGTGCAAAATGCTGGAACTGCTCTGTCGAAGCCTTTGTCTGGAAGGGCAGTCAGTAAGGACTTTACTGGGAATTCCCTGGCGTTCCAGTGGTTAGGGCTTGGCGCTCTCACTGCTGGGGCTCAGGTTCCATCCCTGGTCGGGGAAGTAAGATCCCGCAAGCTGCACAGTGCGGCCAAAAGATAAAGGATTTTACCTGCGTACCTGCTCGCAACACATCCCATCTTTAAGTTCTGCTTTGGCAAGTACATACCTTATGCATTCAAGTAACACGATGGTGGGGGGACCTAAGGAGGGGAGCTCAGCTGAGCCTGAGGTGCGCAGGGGAGGCCCTGGAAGGGACGAGAATCCTGAGCTGGGTCTGAGAAGAGCTGGCCAGGCCTGGAACATCCCGGCTTTTCCAG